GTTTGGTTTTGGTTAGGTTTGGGTTAGGTTTGGGTTTGGTTTGAGTTTGGTTTTGGTTAGGTTTGGGTTAGGTTTTGGTTAGGTTTTGGGTTGGTTTTGGTTAGGTTTGGGTCAGGTTTGGGTTCGGTTTGGGTCAGGTTTTGGTTAAGTTTGGGTTTGGTTAGGTTTTGGTTACGTTTTGGTTACGTTTTGGTTAGAGCAAGGAAGGGCAGCCTCAGAGGGGAATATCCAGCTCCAAGGCACTCCAGCTGACAATCAGAATATCAAGCCAGAGCTCCTGGCACTGAGCCCATCGTGTTGCTCAGCTCTTGTGCTGGCTGAGAATTCCTGGTGAAAGAAGGGGGCTTCTGTGGGTTTCCTCTCACTTTTATTATCAGAATGACTTGTTAGGTCTGGTAGAGTCCACACACACCATGGCTGTCAGAGGTGATGAAAAAACAATAGTTCAGTTCGTGGAATTGCATATTTGGGCTGCCTCTACTTCTACAAAATGTAAGTCTGCTTCTTTGCAATGGAAAATTGAGGTTTTAATTTCTTTAAAAATACACACACTMAAGTACTTCTTGGATTTCCTGGGTMTATGACAGAAAAATATAAAACTTAAGCTAATACAGAGGTCCTTTCCATGAAAGCATAGACAGAATTCAGTTTTTCAATTAAAAATTAATTTAATTTTCAATTCAAAAACCAAGGAAAAAATGCTGTTACTGCTTTTTTGAATAAACAGGAGAAGAGAACGYGAGTTAGGATGTCACCTGGTCTCTACTAACTGGAGAAAAGGTGTGCTAATTCTATTTGATATGAATCTATGTCAGGATTGACCTTGGGATTGAAGGGAAGATTGACGGGTGCTGTCAGACAGTTACCCTTTCATGTGTATAATTTAAAAAATAACTCCTTGGCAATCCAGTGATTAGGAAACGTTGACTTCTTCCTTACAATACTCTGGCTGCTGATAGTGCCACTGTTTTTGCTTAGAAAACTCTGCTATTACTTAAAACTTTTCTTYATAATGACAAAAATTAGTTCTTGATTTGCTGTGAGAGGAACTTCAAAATAAGCAAAAGAAACTACAGTTTGCCTGCCACAAGACTGAGCAATCAAAAAATCTCTGTGCCAAAAATTTACAGGCAGGTGAATTTGTTTGTTCTGACACTTCTTCCTCCTGTTTCACAGAGTCACTTGGGAGAAGCTAGCACAATTGAGTTTTCATTTTTCCTCAGCAAAATGCAACTTAGTTAAAAAAGGAGAATGAATGTGAGGAGCAGCACTTTAATCCTGTCTCCCTCACAAACTGTGACAGAAGGGACAGGTTTTACCTTGGCACTGTTTTGAGTGGTTAAACTTCACAGGTGCTGCATCTTTATTGCAATCTSTCCTTACTCCAGTGATCTTGTTCCATTTTCTGGCTCTTTTGCCTATTTCCTAATAGATACTACTTATGATCCTGCTTTTAAATGCTTTCCTTTGCACCTAGTGGTTTTCACTAGGCTTAAACAAAGGGAGTTTGGCTCTTTGCAATCAATTGAGTGCAGTTCAGGATATTGGCTTGGAATGGGCTCTGTCCCTGCAGAGGGATGAGCAATGGAAAGTGAATTTCCTCCATCTCCAGTGGTCCTTCTGACAGAGCTCTGAGTCATTTATGGGATGCTGTGCGGGAAGCTCACACTGCCATTCCCTGCACTTCTGTGGGTAAGCAGAGAGTGCCAATCCCTGGGACTGCAATTGCTCACTCCCAGAGTGRGTGAGTGCACTCCTCACTCCTGAGTGCAGCCCCACCCAGCCCTGCATGGATCCCATAGGTCAGCAGCTTTCCTGCSAGGGGAATTGCCTTTCACAGCTTTCTCTTCAGGGAAAGGAAAGAGTGTTGCTCATTGGGARTGAAGAGCCAGAGTGACTCTAGTGCTGTGTGAAATAACAACTTACAGCTACAGATGTGGCAAGGAATGAATGTGATGAKGATCTTACTCTGTTCAGGGTCATTTGTGGCAGTCCTGCTTGGAGCTGAGYTGGAATTGTTTAATGGCAAACAGCATCTTTGGCCATGAGGGRATTCTTCTGTTGAGTACTGTAAGAGGAAGGTGTTGAAGGAAAGCGAACCATTAATGTGGATCCATTTGTGGGTTTTCCTCTTGCTGCTTTTCCAAAAGTTCCTTGGTCTCTACTTTCTGTCCCCTCTGTCCATGGTCTGGAAGCAGACAGGTGGGAACACTTCTGACTGGAGCTTGTCAGAGCCAACTGATGTTTGCAGAGAGCTTGGTGGAAAGCTCAGCAAGGCATTCCTTTCTTCTTTAAAGACAGCTGCTCCCCTCAGCCAAGGCTGATAAATTTAAATAAATAGGGCAAATAATACAATATTCTGGTCTGTATTTACAGGCCAAGAATGAGCACWGTGTATTTGAATGTACAGTGATGAGGGTGGATGGTCTGTAGAAGACAGGACACTGAGTAAAATTTGGGAGTTGTTTTTCTTTCTCTTGTGGCATTGAAAGGAAACTTTAAGGAAAGACAACCATAGAGGAAGGTACAGTTGTAAATTTTTCCATTTTGATCTTCATTTGGGCTGTCCCACATTAGCTATTTAGAACTGTTTGGGTTAAAGCATGAACGATCTATAGCTCAGGAGTTTTGTGTCCTCCAGCTGTTCCAYTGTCAGTGTCTTAAATAGCCCTACAAATGTATTTTTCTTCAAGTGTGTTTAAAAAGTGTTCTGGAGCAATGTAGGTTCTGCCTGAAATCCCAGGTTTTCCTGTAGACTTCAGTTTTCTTGTGCAGTGTCACTGCTTGGCACTACATTTTCCCATGACTTGAGCTTTGTGTGTTCAGGCCTTTCCCTGGGTATGTGCTGATCCCTCTCCTGATGCCTGCCTGAGTCCCACAGCAGCAGGAGCTCTTGAATCTTCACCTCAGCTTCAAAAGGTATCACAGCCTTGGCAAGAGAGCAAGGGGATCATTAAATGTTCAGAGAAAATGGAGAGAGCAAACAGGCAGCCTCAAATAGGCAGCTACTTGTTCCAGTTGTTGACATGTACCCAGCAGTTTCCTTCTCTTATCACCCAAGGCTTTCAACAAACAGCATTGAAATTTGATCTTTATTTTTCAGATAAAAACCTGTTAGTCACTTGTAGCTCTGGTGGTACTTTCCTGTTTGTCAGTAATTTCCCCATCAAAACTGATGGCCTCAGCTAACCTGGAAGTTTGCACTGGCAAACATTTTAATTTTGTGAGAGGATTGTTAGTGATTTATCGCCCCACTACTGTTAAGCATCACAGCTGGGGAAGTGTGTTCATGCAAAACTGGTGCTGGAAGTCCTCCTGCTGAAGGCATGTAAGTGCTTATATGGGACACCCATCAGYAGACAGCACAGACTGAATAAAAGAAAATGAAAATACCCTTATGAAGATGTAATGTGCTCTTAAAATCAGGGTTGGGATAAAATGCAGTGTTTCACAAAGGGCTTCCTACCAKTTGGGTTTTTTAAACAACCCAGTCCATATTTCAGACAGAGTTATTCTCTTTACCTTCACCTAAGCCTCTACAGTCTAAAACTTACTACCCAGTGTTTGCCTGCATTTTTTCTTTCCCTTCTACCTTACAGTGCTCATGGTGGTACAGTAAAAGGCAAACAAAGAGAGACATGAACAGCAGGAGATAAGTTTCAAAACATTTGCACAGAAACAYAGTCAGTATAGCTAAATCAGATCTTGCTTTCTTCACAAGTGTTCCAGTCAGCTTCTCAAAATGGGATTTCTCTTAATGTGTTTCCCAAGGAACTGTTGCTACATGGTGATGGAGGGAGATTGTTTTCACTCTTTTCATTCTGTGTAGAAATAGTAACTGTCTGCATTTATGCAGCCTTTTCTGGGCATCTGCAGGTCACACAGATGACAACATTTGCGAGCTGTCAGCAGTACATCCTACACCTTGATCCCAATCTGGACAAYCTGCATTTTGGGACCTTTTTCTTTCTCCACAGATAGCTTTGTGCAGAGGCCTTCGAGACCGTCGGCAGAGGCAGTCCACCACAACCCCCCAACCATTGAACTGTTGCATCGCTCGCGGTCGCCCATCACCAACAACCACCGTCCGTCACCAGACCCCGAGCAGCGGCCCCTCAAGTCCCCCATGGACAGCGCCCTGCGGCGCCTGTCCCCCGCTGACAGGCTGCCGAGGCACCAGCACGACAACAGCCAGCAGGAGCCCTACCCTCTGTCCGTGTCCCCGATCGAGAACAACCACTGCCCGCCGCCCGCCGAGGTGCTCCAGAAGCCCTGCAGCCCTCGCCAGGAGAACACCAGGGTCATCCAGCTGATGCCCAGCCCCATCATGCATCCTTTGATACTGAACCCCAGGCACTCCGACTTCAAACCGCCCAGGTTGTCTGAGGATGGGCTGCACAGGGAGGTCAAGCCCATCAATCTGTCGCACCGAGAGGAGTTGGCGTACATGAACCACATCATGGTGTCCGTGTCCCCTCCCGAGGAGCATGCCATGCCCATCGGGAGGATAGCAGGTAAGGGACCTTCTCTACCCACACCACACTTTAAACCCTTCATTCATAACTAGCTGGGTTTTGTTTGAAGAGCTTCTTGTTTCCTTTTGCTGCTCTGTGACATCAAGAGTTTACTGGCATTCTGCAAGTTTCCCTTGATCTGTGACTGAGTGAACTATTAATAAACCAGTTTCRTGGCAGGTAGGCAGAGGTGCAGAATGACTCGCCTGTGACCACAGAATGTGTAATTGCTATTGTAACATTTGSATCCTGACACTCGCTGCCTCTCCACCCACTAGCAAAATCTATTCATTTCCCAAGATTCCTATCTCTGAAGCCTGCAAGGAGTTTTCCAAGAGTTCCATTCACATTACTGTCCAATCCTATGGAAAGGAAGAAACCCCCCTGTTAGTGGTCATTGAAATAATGCAGTGTCAAGCCCCTTATGAAGCTGGCAGGACTAATGAAATACCACCTTGGAGTCCTACTCCGTAACCTTTCCTATGYTTCTCTCATCAGGATTGTCCCTTTTTACAGAAACAAGGTTGGCTTTGTCCCACGCAAACCACAGGCATTGTCTCACTTTTGTTATCGTAAATAACTGACATCACAACAGCTGAATCAGGAAGCTGAGGTTACAGAAAATGATTCTTGTACTCCAGAGGGAACTGTAAATACATAGGGAGAGGGGGAAGAGGGATCCATTCACTGCAGAAATAGCTGGAGGCCCCAATAACCAATTTCTTTTGAGAGATGTGAATWCACACCACACCCAGAAAGATTCCGTGTGGTTGTGTCAGCTGTGACCTCATGTGATCCCCAGCTCCTGTGGGGTATTACACATGGCCACAGAGGTACATTTTAAAACACCTTGTTCTTTTTTGTCTTTACATGTCTTAAATTTGTTACAGATGTGAGGAAGATTTTCTGTCTTCTTAAAACTTACCACTTTAAAATTCCAAAGATAGATATCTTATCATCTAGTCAACATCAAGCACAGCAAGGACCATTATCCTTCCATAGAATAGAAAGATGAGCAACAGAAATGAATCTTTTAACATTTTTGCCTGGCTGACATTTGTCTCTCTCTTTTTGATTTTCATTGCCCACAAAATTCTCAGCATGTTAATAAACATACTTAATGTTATGGCAGAGAAGATACTCTACTGGTTGCATTACTGGGGATTTCCTTCCTTCAAAGTATGGTTGGGAGACCGAGGCAGTTAATTTTTATTTTCCAGAAGGAAATATTCTCTAGCAATAAACCCTAGTCTGGAATGGATGTAAGAAAAAATAAGGCGAGTACATGGTGGTACAATTTTTTTACTCAACTTACTTTTACTAACTTTAAACTCAGGAGTTTTCTTACATATTTGGGAATCTTTGCACTTTGTGCAATGGGCCCAGCAACAGCAGCCCCTGAGTGCTTTTTAGCCCAGGGTTAGGAATTAGAGCTYGTTGTTAGATTGGTCAGATTTCTGCTGCAGAATTGGCCACTGTGCTTCCTTCAGCATCCCAAGTCCTTTAACTGGACATGCCCACACGCCTCACTTGTGTCCAGGCACAAGCTGCTGCTCCTCTGGTTGGGTTGTAATGGTCCCTGAATTGTAGAGACACTCTCCAAAGAGCTAATTTAAAGGTGATAAAAACTGGATTACTACCAAACATTTACACAGCCCATACTTCATGCCTGAAGTCAGCTTCAGTGGAGCTGTTGAATTCCATGGCTCTTACTCTGCAGCTGTACATCAGTGCAGAGAGAGTCTTTAAAAGGGTTTTTTAAAAAACCACTGACATTTCTTCTGTTTTCTTGCTGAGGATGGGCTGGGCAATGGGAAGATTTGCCAACAGTCCAGTGCCAGGGTTAAGTACTCAACTGTTTGCAGTGGTGAGACAAGAGTTTTGACTTCTCATGTCTTAACCATGCAGGTGATTTTCAGGGGAGATGGTGATGAGGAGCTGCTGGGGAAGCCTGGTATGCTGCTGACTAAAACCTTAGTTTTAGCACAGAACACATTCTGTTCCCACCTCAGATGTTTTATGTATTAAAAAAATCTTCCCCGAACTTCAGACACCTCTCAGCCTCATAAATCTGTTTACTTGCAGATAGAGTGTTTTTAAACACAGCATGCAATTAGTTGGTGCTGAGAAAGAAAACAATGTTTTTGCTTGCTGCTGTACACAAATAGTCTCTTTTCAGGAGGTCGATCAATAGAGCTCTGRACTTTCTGTCAGACTAAATAATGACCTCTTCTCACTGGCTGACTAATCTTTCCTACCTTTTTATGTCATAGGATTTTTCAAGATATTAATTTTACTGGTAAAGCACTTTCCCTTTTACAACAAAGGATTTCAAGTTGAAGGTCTTGCTGTCTTTCCATCTAAGACCATTTAACACTTTTCTAGCAAAGCCAGAGGCATAAAGTATCTTTATATTACTCATTAAGGTCACATATATTATTCATCATTGGCTAGAGTTGATTTTTTAAATTATGTTTAGCTATCTTCTCAACACAATACGCACAAATCTTTCTCCAYAGCTTTGTCAGAACTGCAGGTCATTGTGTTGGGATGATCAAGAGGGAGATTTGCATCCCCTGTAAAGACACCAGCCAAGGGATAAACTGAGTAACTCAGGCATCTGTGGTCATCTAGTTAACAGCAGGTAAAAATATTGAAAATACTCCAGAAGGGGAGTTGAGCAGARCAGTGTAATGGACAGTTTTGCTGCTGGAACTGCTAATTCAAAGCAGCAACACTGTTGGTAGTCAGCTCCTAGCCTGGGCTCTAGCAAGCAGGAGTCTATATATGGCTTACTTTCAGCTCTGAATTTTTTTCAGTAGTTGATCTTGGTTCCCCACATTCTCCAAGGATTTCTCTCTGGGGGGAGAGGGGGAAATAGATACATATTTTTCTGGCTTGGTTTTTTTTTTTTATTATTCTTCATTTTTTTCCTTCTGTTTTTTCTTTAAACACAGTTGCAGTTTAAATCAAAGGGGGCACCTCAAATTAGCCTTTCTGCAGACTGGAAATTCTACTCCCCATGAACCTCAAAGGCTCTGTTATCAAGCATTTTAGGGCTTTGATACCTTGTAAGAGGTACTTTCCCAAGGTGCAAGAGGCAGTTATGGGATTATCCAAACACAACAGGGATGGTTTTATCCTAACTTTTTTAGGATCACACAGAGATTGCCTTAGAAACATCCAAATTARGCCAATGACATGGTGGTATTTGCCTCACTTTTGATTCAGTCATAAAAAACTCACTAATACAATTCTGAGTGTTTCTTGTGAGGGGAGCTCTTGAGATTTCCAGCTCCCAGTGTCTTTTTCTGTAGCAGCTCTCTGGGACTGAAAGGTTTGCTCATGCTGAAATCCAGAGGCAGGTGAGTCCTGTGCCTGGTGTTATCTGTTGGTGTGCTGCTCTTATCAGCTGGGTTACCTTAGCAACTGGGCTGTATCTGACTTTATGAGCTGCCAGATTTGTTTCTTCCCCTCCAGGAGTCTGAGGCARAGCCAGGCAGTGTTTAAACTGTTGGGAGGCACAGTGTCTGTTATTGGTTTGGCCCATAAAGCCATGGAGTGCTGTTGGAATGAGGACAGGCAGGATTYTTACCCTGCCAAAGTCATGACAGAGCTGCCTCCAGGTTTGCTCAGGTTCACCTCAGCCCCTGAGTGTGCCACACATGCAGAGAGCTCAGGGGTGCAGCATKAACCCCACGGAGCTGGAGCAAGGGGTGTGCAAGTGACATCTCAGGAAAAACAGTCTGATGGCCGAAACCAAAAATGCAGTCCCATGGTAAGAGTACCTCAGCTATGGATGACTCACATTCTGCTAAAATCACAAAACAGCACTTAGGATGGGCGTAGGCTCYGAGCATGGGGAGGGCTTCCAGAGGAGTTTCTTTTGTGTGGGGACAGAGTTTGGAGGGGGAACAGAATCATGGGTTCTCCTCCTTTGTTTGGAAAAAAGCACTTGTGTGGGAGGGCTAAAGACAGGAGGGGACAGTGGAATCCCCCTTTCACAAATACAGTGCTTTAAAAAAGTGCAAATCAACTGGTACTTTGTTTATTCTCTGGAGTTGGGCTTCTTTTAAATGAGGACAAGACAAACTCAGCTGATGGAGCTGTTACATTTGTAACAGCAAACATTTAGAGCTCAAACATCAAAAGGCCAAATTTCAAACSTGCACCTCAGCAGTGTCTCCTCACTACTTAGCTTCCAGGACCAGAGCCCCGRTGCCCACATCTGCTCCAGATGTGTCCATGTGACATTTACAACTGTGTCACATTGTAGGATGATCTTGTGAGGTTTTCTATACCAACAGAATCCTTTGTGCAAATGCACCTCAGTAGTGTGTTATTTATAATGTGTTACAGCACATTAGTTTATTTTCCTTTCTGTACAAAAGAGCTGTGGAGGCACAGTTACTGTGCAGTGGCATATGCTGGATGGGAGGGAGGCTGGGAAAGGAGGCAAAGAACAATTATCCCTCTGTAGTGAAGAGGGTAAAAAACAGCATCTAAGCACAACTTAGAAGTGACAGGTTTTGTAACTGATACTGTTAGCCCTCCTAGAAAGGATGGGAAAAATGATGAAAAAGTTTATGCTGGGTACTGGTGGAAGGCATTAATGAATAATGCAGACAACCAGGCACAGTMAGCCACAAAGGTAAATCCCATGTAACCAATTTGCTCTCTTTGTGGGATAAGGTCCCCCACCTCGTGGATGGAAAGAAGGTGGTGGGTATATTCTGCATTTCAGTGATTCTTTTGGGCCGACTTGAATGGTTGTGGCATGAGTGGGGTCCCAGTGCACTGGGTCACAACTGTCGAAGGKCAGGGCTCAGATGGGGCCACATCTGGAGCAGATGTGAGCAGGCASAGGTTGAATTTCTTTCCCTTCCAKTTTGGTGAAACATGGGCTTCAGGGGGGGCTTTGACAGGGTGGGCACAGCAGCTGAGCAGTTACACGTTCAACTGGCAGCCTACAGAAAAGCAGAACAGTGKTTCACTCTGGC